AATACGGGAATTAACCAATTGCAGATTATTTAATTATGGTGGGGGACAAGACATAATGATAAAGGTAAAAAGAAAAAGGTTAATGGTGATGTCTTCTTTTGACCATTCAAAAAGAGGGAACAGTGGGGCCCACGTTGACTACTTTTACTAAAGTAAAAATTAGAAATAGTGTAGGTAATAATAAAAGGTTAAAAGTTATACATAGTAGAAGAATATTGGGGTAAAAGTAAAAAGGGGAAAGAGGTAAAAGAGGGTCTTGCTTTGTATATAAAGGGGGATGAGGGGATTGAATTGAGAGGAGGAGATTTTTGGAAGAATTTTGGTAGAGAAATTTCAAAACTAAAGGAGAGAACAAAAACTGAAAAAAAATCTTCTACTTTCCTTCATTGTTTGAAATCAGCATTAATTGTTGTTGTTTTATCGAAGCTTGAAGCTTCTTTTTTTGGGATTACTACTCCACCGGTTTGCAAACTCTCTTCCTGGGTTGTTACTATTGCTGGGCTGTTGTTGCTGTGCTGTATTGTTACTACTGCTGCTGATTATCATCTTCATCTTCTTTTATTTCCAATACCAGGTACACGACTGTAATACTAGCTATTACAAGATAATAATGTGGANATGAAGAATGGAATTTTGAAGTTTTGATTTCGCTTTTTCTTTCTTCCTTTTATTGATTGTATTTAGGCTATTTCATGTATTACTGAATAATAATTGGAATAAGAGAAAATAACATAAGTTAGTCTTTAATGAATCGGCTCGGCAAAACGGGTTAATTCACTAGTTATGAAGGTTTTAAGATTATCAACAGTAGGTTAATATTAAACAAGTAGCTAAATTTAGCTAAGGCATGAATTTGAACTAAATTTCATGAATTAGGCATTAAGGCATGATTTGAGTTCAAACAAGATTAGAAGAACGTTTAAGTTTAATAAACTTTCTAATAAGCTTTAGTAATTATGGTTAAATCTTGTTTCAAATGGTTATGAATAATTAATCTCAATAGTTTTTTTATAATAATGCGAGTTTTAATCTAGCTATATTTGATTCTTTTGAATATTAGTTGTCGAATTTTATTTTTATTTATAATTTCAATTTTTTTTGTTTGTAAAATTCCTTTTCATCAATATTTGTATTAATCTAGCAAATAGTATGCCATGCTTTCTTAAATAAAAAAAGGCTCGTAATTAATTAGGATTTTCTTTCTTTATTTTAGAGACTAATTTTAATAGAAAAAATGTAGTCGCTTTAGGATTTGTCCATTTAAAATAAATGAGATGAGCCTCGCCTAGTAAAATGTATAGATTGCGGGGCCCTCACAAATGTATGCATTAATCACTTAGAACATCGAAGTTGGCCGTCTAGAGAAATTTTACGGCCTTTCCCAAAACAACAATACGCTAGTCGTTCTAGGCGCGTCTTTAACAAATCATTTTCTTAAATATGGGTGTGCATTTATGTAACCCAAATCCAAATCTCAATGGAGTCTAAATGTGTCGATAACCATGGGTGCATTGATTGCGATGTGGTCTGAAATACGTTTTCACAGTGTTGCAATTCTCCGTAAAATAATAACAATAATAATAATAATGAAAGCGGTAAAGAGTTAAAATCTGCACATAAGCTCATAATCGTATAAAAAGTCAGATAAACAAGCCGAATATGACAGTTGAGCGACCGTTCTAGAACCACGGGACTCGGGAATGCCTAACACCTTCTCCCGGGTTAACAGAATTCCTTATCCAGATTTCTGGTTCGCGGACTGTAATACAGAGTCATTCTTTTCCTCGATCCGGGATTAAATTGGTGACTTGGGACACCCTAAATCTCCCAAGTAGCGACTCTGAAATAAATAAACAAATCCCGTTTCGATTGTCCTTTAATTGGAAAAACTCCTTCACCCCTCGCGGGGGCGGAAAAAGGAGGTGTGACACTAATTATGGGTAAAATAGGAAAAGTTTCAAAGTTAATGTTCCAAAAAACTCATTAGGCCAAACTGTAGCCTCAACCATAGTCCCAACCGTGACGCACAGCTGAACCGTGACGAATTCAAGAATCTTATTTTCTTCAGCTCTTCAGGACCATCTTGAATCGTAGCTAACAGTTGGTGAAATTGTGTCACACGGTTTAATTTGGGGCCTTGATTCTTCAATTCTCAAGATTCCAAACATAGTATCCTTTGCATTAATCCTCCAAGTGACTCTCCAAACACCTTCTTATTAATTGTTGAAGACCATGCAGCTCCTCAGCGTGCATCCCTCGCGCGTTCTTGGACTTGGAGCAAGTCAAAGGTCCACTAGTTAAATTGGGGTCATCTTCAATATTCTCCGCTTTGTCGGGGCTATCTAGGATCGTATCAATCCCTCCCTCTTAAAAAGTATTCATCTACGAATCCGACATATCTACACCAAAAGGATATATGTCAGAAACATTAAATGTCGCACTCACCTTAAACTCACCTGGGAGATCCAACTTTTATGCATTGTCGCCAATCTTCTCAAGAACTTGGTATGGTCCATCTCCACGAGGATGAAGCTTGGACTTGCGTTTATCAAGAAATCGTTCCTTCCTCAAGTGAACCCAAAACCAATCACCAGGTTTAAAGATAACCTATTTTCTTCCTTTGTTAGCTCTATTGACAACCTTTTCATGTGTCTTCTCCAGTTGAAACCGCACTTGCTCATGAACCCTCTGTAATGCTTCAGCCATGTTCTTTACATTCACAACATCACTCATAGGCAATGGAATCAAATCCAAAGGTGTTAGCGGAGTAAAGCCATATACAATCTCAAAAGGAGACTTATCCATGGAAGAGTGAACAGATCTACTATAAGCAAACTTAATCAACGGTAGATGCTCCTCCCAAGAAGTGTACTTACCCCGAAGTGCAGCTCGCAACATGCTACCCAAAGTCCTATTGACTACCTCAGTCTGACCATTTGTTTGGGGATGACAAGTAGTGGAACACAATAGCTTAGTTCCCAACTTAGACCACAAAGTTCTCTACAATTGACTAACAAACATAGTATCTCTATTACTAACAATGGACTTAGGCACCCCATGTAACCTCAAAACCTCTCTCTCAAATAATGTAGCTATGTAAGACGCATCATCTACTTGTGACAAGGAACAAAAGGTGCCATCTTAGAAAAACGGTCAACCACAACAAATATGCAATCATGTCCCTTCATAGTCCTTGGTAAGCCCAAAACAAAATCCATAGAAATATCTAACCAAGGAATCTCAGGAACAGACAATGAAGTATATAACCCATGTGGCTTAACCTTGGACTTAGACTGAAGACACTCGATACATCTACCACAAACTCTACCTACATCTCTCCTCATGTGGGGCCAATAAATTTTTTCTTTGAGGCACTCAAGTGTTTTAAAAACTCCAAAATGCCCCATCAACTCACCATTATGAGCCTCTCTAACAAACAATTCCCTCAAAGAACATCTAGGGACACAATTTTCCATTCCTAAATAAATAACCATCATCAATAAGGAATCCCTCAAACACACCTAACTTACACTCCTTGTACTTACTACTAAAATCTTGGTCACTATCATATAAATCTTTAATATGCCCAAATCCTATCAAATTAGGAGTTAACACATTGATCAGAACATATCGTCTAGAAAGTGCATCAGCCACAACATTATCTTTGCTTTGCTTATAGTGGATAACATATGAAAAGGTCTTTATAAACTCTACCCACTTAGCATGCCTTCTGTTTAACTTAGACTAATTCTTTAGAAATATAAGACTCTCATGATCAGTCCTAATAACAAATTCCTTAGGCCACAAATAATGCTGCCAATTGGCTAAAGCTCTCACAAGGGCATACAACTCCTTATCATAAGTAGAATAATTTAAGGCTGCTCCACTTAATTTCTCACTAAAGTAAGCTATAGATTTTTGGTCCTGCATAAGAACTGCACATATACCTAACCCAGAAGCATCACACTCAACCTCAAAAGTCTTACTAAAATCTGGTAGTTGTAGCAAAGCGGCTGAACTAAGCATATTCTTTAATAATTCAAAAGCCTCATCTTGTTCCTTACCCCATTTAGATCCCTTATCCTTCCTAATTACTGCAGTCAAAGGAGCAACTGTGCTACTAAAACCCTTAATAAATCTCTTATAGAAACTAGCGAGACCATATAAACTCCTAACCTCGGACACACTCTTCGGAACAAGCCACTCTCTAATGGCTTTCACTTTCGTCTCATCAACCTCTATGCCCTTTCCACTCACAACAAAATCCCAAGAAAATCACCCTATCAACACAAAAAATCACAATTCTTAGGATTTGCAAAGAGTTTCTCTTTCTTAAGTACATCAAGCACACTTTTAACATGCAAAAGATGATCATCCAAAGAATGACTGTAAATAAGCATATCATCAAAATAGGCAAAAACAAATTTACCTCTAAATGGATTTAAAACATGATCTATCAAGTGCATAAATGTGCTATGTGCATTAGTTAACCCAAAATACATAACTAGCCATTCATGTAAACCATTTTTAGTTTTAAAGGTTATTTTCCATTCATTACCAGGATTCATCCTTATCTGATGATATCCACTTCGCAGATCAATTTTTGAAAATACCTTTGCACCATGCAACTCATCCAACATATCATCCAATCTAGGAATGGGACAACGATACTTTACCGTGATTTTGTTGATAGATCTACAGTCAACACACATATGCCAAGACACATCCTTCTTTGGTACTAAAATGACTAGTACAACACAAAGACTCATGCTCTCTCTCTCACGAACCCCTTATTTAGTAGCTCCTCTACTTGCCTTTGAAGCTCCTTAGCCTCTAGTTTGCTTATAAGCTAGTTTATTCAGAATCTGAGATCCTGGTACAAAGTCAATTTGGTGTTCAATCCCCCTAAGTGGTGGCAATCCTTCAGGTAGCTCCTCAGGAAAGACATCATTATATTCCTGCAGTAAAGAGATAAAATCACTAGACAAAGAGTTAGAGAGTACGTTAGTATTCAAATAAGCTCATTCATACACATATAGTAAAAGTGGTATTCCTTTACTAAGGGTCCTTTTACAGTCTTTTGCTTTTACAAAAAGGTTCTCTTCCTTTCACCTCTTTCCTTTCACCATCACTCGGTTTCTTTTCATTCTTCCTCTTTCGGCTACCCTCTGATTTTTTTGCTTCCTCACTTTCCTCAATTTCAACAAGTGAAATTTTACCTCTACACTCATTCTCTTTCTTTTCCTCTCTCACCTTCTCCCCACGCAATTATTTAACTCTTTTATGATCTTCATACACTTGAAGTGGAGTCAAGGGCTTCAAGAGATACTTTTTACCCTTCAGCTCAAGAGTATAGCTATTACTCCTCCCTTCATGTAGCGCATTCCTATCATATTTCCATGGCCTCCCAAGAAATAGATGACAAGCCTGCATAGTTATAACATCACATAAAATTTCATCCATATACTTTCCAATTTTGAAGCACAGAAGAACCTGCTTGTTCACTTTCAATTCCCCACTATCATTCAACCATTGAAGCTTGTAGGGACGAGGATGCTTCATGGTCCTAAGACCCAACTTCTCAACAAGAGACACACTAGCCACATTAGTACAACTTTCACTATCCACAATCACAGAACAAATTCTTCCACCAATGTTATATCTAGCATGGAATAAATTTCCCTTTGATCAGAATCACGCTCTTTCACTTGAACCCCCATTAACCTCCTAACAACTAATTGTGTGTTTATGGTCTCTTTCTCCTCACAACTAGTAATACCATCTGTGGATCCCCCTCCATCAGATTCTTCAACGCCATCATCAAATTCGTATTCTCTATTCTCCTTAATCCAAATAGCTCGTCGGTTAGGACATTCATATTGCATATGTCCTCTCCCTGATATTTATGACAAATAATAGAACAATTTCTGTAAGGTTTAGGTTGAGTAGAGTTCCCTCCCTCTTTAACCTCTACCTTATTTTTACTCTTTTCAACTGATTGAGATGGCTTGACTTCAGATTTTACCTCTTTTCTTACTCGAAGAAGATATCCAAGTAGTCTTATCTCTGTTCCAACTAGCAGAGGACGACTTGTTTTGATCTCTAAGTATCCTCTCTACCTTAGTAGCCAAGTGCAACATCTCTACTACAGAATGACAATCCCTAAAAAGTTCAATCTAATTAGCAATGCCCTTATCCAACCTAGTGTGAAATTGATTATAATGGTTTCCTCGACCTCATCTAGGTTGGACTTCATCCTAAGCACCTCCATGGTATTGTAATACTCTTCAACACTTTTGTGGCCTTCCACCAAGTTGTGCAACTTCTTAATAATCTCTCTATGGTAATGTGAAGGTACAAATCTACCCCTCATTACTCTCTTCAAGTCCTCCCAAGTCTCAATAGGTCTATCACCAAGCCTTCTACGATCAAGCTCAGTTCTTTCAAGCCAAGTAGAGGCATATCCCTCGAATTCAGTCACCGCCATTTGAACGTTTTTCTCCTCAGAGTAGTTATGAACTCTGTAAATCCTTTCCACCTTTGCTTCCCACTCCAAGTATGCATCCGCGTCAGTTGTTCCCTCAAAGGCAGGAAACTTCATCTTAATGCTACCCAAGTTTCTATCAACTCCTTCATTTCGGTTGTGTTGATTCTACTGTCGCATCCCAAATCCTCTCACATGCCTAGCTCCTCCTACCCCCTCTCAAGCCTTGATGACCATAATCAATATAGTCATCAAAATCTTCATCTTCAAATTCTTCATATGGGCCATGTTATGGAGGTACCATAACTTGTGGTGGATCCCTCCTCATATTTTGAGGTGGCCCTTGATATGCTGTGGGTGCCGGAGCTACTGGTAGTGTCTGATTAGCCCTCTATAAGTTTTCTACCTATAAAGTTAGATGTTGAATCTGTTGCATCATAGTTTGCAACATCTCATTAGTTCCTTCAGCCTGGGATGGTTCTTTAGTGCCACTGGTACTATCCTCAATGCCAGACATTCTCTCACAATTGTAAATTCTCACGTTTCACTCGTATATATTCTCTGCCTCACTCTTTGGAATTCCTCAAAATTTGAGCTTAACTCACAAATCACCTATCCAAGAAGGAGTTTTCTTTAAAGTAATTTAAGAGTGGTTTACCGTGAAAATGGTAATAACAATTAAATTTATTGATGGGATTCTAAAAATACTTGATCTATTTTTGTGCTAGTTGTTAAAGCAGTTGATGCAAGATATATGAAGATAAAAGATAAAATGCGAGCTAAAATAGAGTTATAATTAAACCAGGGGGTTAGCTGTCCGGGCCACGGACTAACCGATAAGGGGCCTCGAGGTCGATGCCTGGACTCGGGCTCGAGCTATCAGGGATAATCGGGAAGGGGCTAATAGTTAGGATATAATTAAAAGAGGCTCTTTATAGCCAATAACAAGCAATAAATGAAGAACAGGTATGAACGTAGTAAGCAATAGCAATAATGTTTGAAGAATATGTTAGAGAGAAAAGAAAGAGTTCTTGTATATTTCGTGTAGAATAGTTGGAGCAACAGGGTGCCGCTTACAAAATGGCAAGGATACCCCTTATATAGGAGGGGAATCCCAACATAGTACAAAGTACATTAATTGTAAAGGTATAGAGATGGGACGACTAGTGTGACACCAGGCTCTTGCCAGTGCTATCTGCTCGCCTTGGGAACTCCCCATCCCCGACATCGTCATTGGGTCAAGCATAAATGGACGTCGAGGGAGAGAACTCGACCGCAACCTCACAGCCTCGAGATCTCAAGATGACTTCTCGAAACACCTTAATGACAAGGAATTGGACCCTCCAATTTCACCGTACACAGATAGTCTTCACGTTTCCTGGAATGAAGTAATAGGAAATGATTTTGAGTCGTCGTTCCGAGGGCATCATTGCTGTGACGTCAACCTATAAGATCATTAAATGCCATGTCCTAGAAAATCGTGCAAGGGTCTCCATCAAATACGATTATCGAGGAACCCATGAACTGCTATTGGTTCGTCCTTTCCGCTGCCCAAGTGGTTCCTATAGATACATCGACTGTTTGATAATTCTCATCTTTGAAACATCTTCAAATTCACGAGTCCATACCCATCTTTTTTTACACTTTTCCATCTTGCTTTATGAGAGGAAATTTTACCACTGCCATGGACAGGACTCCTAGAACGGTTCCTCGGCGGAATAAAGCTGCATCTTCATCCCGGTCATCCAAGGAGAAAGCCAAAGTGGTACCCACCTTGGAACAATGCACTCCCTCCAAGCTTGATATGTCAAAATATTTTACCGTCGATACCACTTCATCCACACCGGGATGATGTGAGCATGTGTCTCGATACATTATTGTCATGACCAACGTCAACACAGCGAAGATGAACTACCGATGGGGCGAGGTAGTGAATGTGGAAATTCCTGGCCCCGATGAAATATAACGGACCACAAGGTCGTTTTTCTTCATGTATGTACCTACCCATTAACCTTGGGTCCTGCTGGCCCCCTGAATCTTCTCCCCCGGAAATAGATCCGGTTATCCTTGACTTTTGTGATAAGTATCAAGTGACGCTCGGTCAGATCTATCCCTCTGTCTGGAGGATAGTATTGATGTTCCGTCATTTCACCGAAGGGGTTGCAAGTGAGGTTTTTACCCTCAGCTATTTGATTAGGTTGTACAACCCTCGATTTTATTGAGGTTTGATCAGGCTCCATAATCGATCCAAAAAATCATTTTTCTCGAGCATCGATGAGAGGAAGGACCGAGGATGGGTGAGCAGGTTCGTTCGAGTAAGGACCTTGGACATCATTTGGGCCCGGAAGATGCCCTTCCTGGATAGGTGGAACACACAGTGTAAGTGAATCTCCCTTAACCATGTTTTGTAATTTTCTTCCCTTTCCCCTGGAATGATAACCTCTTTATCGCTTCACGCAGTCGCTGCTTGGTACCCCGAGGCAATTTCAGACTTGTCGGGGTGGATTAGACGGTTGGACACCGCGTTCTCGTATCATGTTCGGTCTTGGACCAACTTGGCTAAGGAGCGATGGGTGGCTAAAAATCATGGTAGGGCTTCTTTGCTGTCTATGTCTTAGACTTGCATTTCTCCCTGCGTCCCTTGTGCTGACAAATTATGGTTATCGTGCTTGTGCAGGCCTTAGCGAGAATATGGAGATGAGGCTGCCCTCTAGTGGTGGGACGGAGGATTCAGAGCCCGGCAAGGGCAAGAAGAGAGGAGGCAAGGCGGTTGTTGACCCTCATGTGGCAAAGAAACCCAGGTCACTCGAGTATCAAGCCACCGCTAGGACCTTTGCTTTAACTTGAGGGGCAAATCCCGGCGTAGAGGATGAAGATGTTAATAAGTATCAGTTGGCCCGGAAGACGAGGTCGAGTGCGGAAGGCTCGCAAGTGCCTCGATCGGAGGCTGCTGAGTCTAGAACAATTGATTCAGGTTGGTCCCGTAGACTGGAGACCATTGAAAGGGGTGTTGATGTGGCCTCAGATCGCATGACCAGGTTTGGTGCAGTTTCCGTTGGGGGGACCGCTACTATCGATCCTGAAGGGTCGGGGCCCAGAGCTTTTCAGGAGTAGGGGTTGCCTTTTGGGGAAATCGGTGACATGAATGATTTCATCTCGTGCTTTCAGGTCTCGTCAGGGGAACTGAAGGACGCTCAAGAAGCGAACACCGTCAAAGTAGGGATTCCTCTCAAAAGGGGAGGCCCCTTTGCCAACATTTTTGACAGTGTTAGCGATAACGTCGGTCTTGACATTCCTGGCGCCGTCAAGGCGGCGGAGAGATTCATGCAATAGGTGATAGCAATCTTTCGTATATTTCTTTTAGTCTTGGTCTTCATTCTTCGTCTTTCTAACTTTTCCGCTATGCCGCAGTGCAAGTATATGTATGACCATGCCCTCTTTCGGCTCCGCGAGGAGCTTTCTTACCGTGAAAAGGAGTGTAAGAAGCTTTCCTCGATGTTGTGGGATTCGGAGGCTCACTCTGCCTAAGGAAAGAAAGAATTAGGAGAGCTCCGAGCTACTTGGAGAGAGCACTCTGGGAAAGGGATGATCTCGTCGCGCAGCTATCTCGCCCTGCTCATACCTGACCTTTGCTTCCATATTCTGACACAAATTGGCTTACCTTTCTTTTGCAGGTCAAGAAAAATGGTTCACATATCAATCGACTGAATGCAGAGATCCTCAGGCTGAGGAAGCAAAGTGAGGTAGCTACTGAGGAGTTGGTATCATCCCATGATCTTCTCAAGAATGCTCGCAAGGAGGTTGCTGCCTTGGCTACGATCGAGTCCGAGGTTGAAAGAAATGTTGCCACTTATCAGGATGATGCAGCCACGATGCATAAAATAGCTCATGACGTATCGATACCAGTTGAGCAGAAGCTAGCTCGAGCTATTAATCATGCTAAGGCAGAGGCGAGGAGAGAGACCCTGGAGGAGATCAGAGCCAGAGGTGTCGATTTGTCAGTTGATCTCGAGGAAGCCCGTGAATTGGAGAGAGAATTGGCGCTTTTAATTGTCCCAGATGAGGGTGAAGATAGTGGTGATGAAGAGTAGTCCCCACGTTGTTTTGCATCCTCTATTTTTCTTTTTGTATGCAGCCCCCGGGGGATGGATCTTGTAAAGATGTCTCTTGTGGATACGTTTTTGGCAATGTAAAAAGAGAGACTTTTCTTCTTTTAGTTTTTTTGTTCCTCTGCTTTCACGGATTTAGACTTTCGACTTTTGATGTTAGCCTTTCGAAATCTGTTCTTGGAGCGACCAGGACCCTCAAATTAGGCCATGCCCCGTGATTAAATTGACAACTTCTCACAGGCCGGTGCTGGCAATACCGAGGAGCCCCTGAGGCCCCACAGTTTCTCGAATTTTGCTGGGTTGCAACATTTGCTCGACCTGGTAAAAGGGCCCCGAGGCGATTCTGTCAGTGCGTTTCCCTAGGAGAGGGTGATGTTAACGCGACCAGAATTAATTGGCCTTTTGGGTAGGCGGGTAGTTGCTGCTCTGCCCCTATATATTCATTCACTTTCCTTCCCATTGGTGATTCTGCTGCTTTGACAGACTACCTCTTCCACAGAGCCTGGCGCTTTGTGTTAGACCTTCCGTTGCTTCAACTCAATTTTTTTGCTCAGATCCACATCTTTCTCCCTATATTCTATCGTAGTTATGGCTGCTACGTCAATGTCCGACCGCCAGAGAGAGGGGAGTTCTTCCTATGCTCTACATTCGGTTGGTGATAGTGACGCACCGCCGGTGCTCGGTGAGCGGGCCTCGGGGTGCCCTGCCTCGAGGAGAGTTGTCATGCCGGGGAGGCCTCCTAATGTTCGGGGTCATCGGGAGCATGTGTCGAGGATCATCTCATCAGTGGGAGATGAAAGCCTCGACATGATCAGAAAAGATTATGGATGGGGAGAAGGCGCGTTATTACAAGTGCCTTCTTCTGAGGAGAGCGTCATGACATACGTTGAGGGGTTTTTGAGCATATACACACATAATTTTGCGCCGGATCCCCCGACCGGGTCGTGCTTGATTTCTATCGGAGATATCGGGTTACCTTGGCGCAGACTCACCCATTCCTTTGGAAAA